CCTGGGAACGAGGTTGATTGTCAAAATTCCCGCTTTCCGCTCCCCTTTTTTTAAGCTCGCATCCCTAGTATCACCACAAAAAATAGCCAAATCCCGCATCCCGCCAAACCTATTGTGGACCTTTTTTTGAGAAATTGTAAATGCCGAGACCAGGAATGTGTTCGAATAACTTGAACTACTTGCAAAACAGGACGTCACGTCTTTACCACATTTGACACACGTATACGAAATGTAAAATGTAAAAATAAAAATGTTCTGGAAGTTTTAAAATCCTCGAAATATATTTCGAGGATTTATTTCGAGGATTTTAAAACTTCTAGAACATTTTTATTTTTACATTTCGTATACGTGCGTCGAATGTGATAAAGACGTGATGTCTTATTTTGCAAGTACTTCAAGTTATTGTGAACCCTCTAGAAAGAAACTGACGATTTTTTTATGTCACGCCTTCTCAAAACTTATCTATCGATATCTAACTGTTCCCTGATTGTACTTCTTCTTCTCTCCATCCCGACTCCAATGTTGAGATTAGTACGAAGCCCAGTAAGTGCCATTCAAATTTTGCGCTCAATTTTTTCTGTCTCGACTTTTTTCTCGCCTTTAAGTTTTTTTCCCGACTTTTTTCTCGACTTTCTTCTCGACTTTTTTCTCGACTTTTTTCCCGACTTTTTTCTCGACTTTTTTCTCGACTTTTTTCCCGACTTTTTTCTCGACTTTTTTCTCGACTATTTTCTCGACTTTTTTCTCGACTTTTTTCCCGACTTTTTTCTCGACTTTTTTCTCGACTTTTTTGCCGACTTTTTTCTCGACTTTTTTTCCGACTTTTCCCCCTGACTTTGGAGTAAATCCGATGACATTTAAGCGCAAACAAAATGGTCGCAAGAATTTTTCGTTATACGATGTTGCTGTCTATAGTAATTCCCTCTACATGTGTTCTGCCAGGCTATTTCTCTCTCCCAGCACATGCAGAACGTGACGACATAATCGACCACTTCTTTCATCTAGGTCTGGGTTACAGCGAGATCTTGATGTGTTTGTTTCTTTTGCACGGCATTTGCTTAAGTATTCGTCAACTAAAGCGAATACTGAGATGTCGTGGTCTTGGAAGAAGAGCTAATAGGACTGATCCACGGCAGGTTTGCGAAGTTATCGAGGAGGAACTACGAGGCAGTGGTAGCACTATTGGGTATAGGCAAATGACTCAGAGGCTGGTAGTTGATCACGAGCTAGTTGTTGGCAAAGAGACAGTTAGAGAATTGATGAAGATATTAAAAAAATCAGTACGACCTACTTGTAATTTTTTCGTACTGTAATCTTAGTAACGGAAGTTACAACCTTAACTGTTCACCCTAAATCCTGCTATTGTGAGAGGGAATTTCTTTCCACAGGCTTTTGCTCTTCATTTTCTGTATTGCGTAGCAAAAAGAGCAAACTTAAGTAATATTTACCCGATGTAAATCATTCGCAGTATTTATTTCTAGGCCACTTGTGATCTGCTCTCAGATCGGTAACGGAAGTTTCATAAAAATAGCGGACACCAGTTCACTGTAGTTAAATGCAACAAAACTGACCTGCAGTGAGAAATGATCATGTAGGACTTTAGTTTAGGTCCCTTCCGAGACATTGGATTGATTAGTTTCCATAGTATAAGGCGACAAGCACAAATATGCCGTAACCTTCTATACCCACCCTCTCTGTGGACATAGCAAAATTGCATTTTTTGGACACTTTTGGCCTTGATTCCCTCAAAGTTACTGTCTACAGGAGCACAAAGGGGTACTGTCGCTATTTATTTGGGCATATTTTAAGTATTTTTCAGCGAAATGATTATAGGAAAACAATTTGAGTCCCCAAAACGTGCCATGGACACCAAAAAATGGTAATTTATCCACTTAACGTGGAATGAGTGGTTGTTCCTATTTCCCACGTGCCGAAATGAACCATTGACGCATGCGTATGTGATCAGTGGTGGAAAAAAAAGTCGGGAAAAAAGTCGAGAAAAAAGTCGAGAAAATAGTCGGGAAAAAAGTCGAGAAAAAAGTCGGGAAAAAAGTCGAGAAAAAAGTCGAGAAAAAAGTCGGGAAAAAAGTCGAGAAAAAAGTCGGGAAAAAAGTCGAGAAAAAAGTCGAGAAAAAAGTCGAGAAAAAAGTCGGGAAAAAAACTTAAAGGCGAGAAAAAAGTCGAGACAGAAAAAATTGAGCGCAAAATTTGAATGGCACTTACTGGGCTCCGTAGATTTGCGTTTATTTGCATATGGTTGGTATTCGTGAATCAGGGAACAACGTGACAGACGTCTCCACTAAAATGTGACGAGCATCATGAAGACTTGATTTCCGCCGCTCTCTCGGCCTCCCCGAGAATAGAGTCTTTTCAAGGAAAGAGGGCGGACGTGACTCAGTTCCCCGCCGAAGAGTGGCTAGTAATCGAGCCTAAGACTAACCTCGGCAGAGGACATATTCTATGTTGATTGCAGTAAACCTACTTATATATAGCTACTAATCAACCATATACTTTTTAATCTACTGGTTAGCTACATTTCCGGTTTACCCAGTATAATTGTTTTTATGTTTTGTATTGGGTGTGTTCATTTTTTGATTCAATATTTTGTGTCTAAATATGTTCAAGGTCACAGAGACCTTCAAATCGCACTTCCGGCAGAAGGGAAATCCGACAGTCTCCACGATACTCAAGCCATTTAACCCAAGATAATGAAGACATGCACGTTTCACCTAAACGTATTGACTTATTTGTAGATAGTTCGTTCCTCTTGTTACACATCTCATATATCTGTCGAGGCGAACAAGAATTAATCTTTTCTCTCTCTGGCTTCTTTAGCTTCTTGACAGGCCAGCTCCTCTCCACGATCACAGATTACAGAAGACATGAGTCAGACATGAGAGACTACCTGAGTTGTGAAAGGAGGGGAGGAACAATTTAATTTTTCTTTTACCGTGCCTTCTTAGGAAGAGGGGTTTCTTTAACTGATTTCCTAGATTTTTCAAACACGATTAGCACAAACAGCATCCAGCGGAAGACTCTCTTTTTCTACTGGGATCTGTAAAATTTCTCTCGTAGCCGGGCACGAAAAAAAACGAGAAAACAGCACAGAGAGGTCTGTTTTTGAGGTATGTACACTTTCATGTCTGGTGATGTGCATTTTAGAACTTACGATAAATTCACATATATGTAATTTGGCTTCTTAGAGACCCTCAGAGGCTGTTGGGAGCGGTTGGGAGCCTGGGCTCTCGATCTGTACACGCACTGCACTTACCGACTTGGGGCACAACCCGGGGTGGGCATTCCCTTAAATGACCTAAGTATACAGGGATGTACCACTGAACAGGGTATATTTCGTCCTCTCTGCCCTAAACAGGGTATCTAATTTTGCGCCAGTCTGTCCTAAACGCGCAATTGCAACGACGCAAGTCTGCCGTAAATAGTTTACATGTCCGGCTTTCAGTCAAAAGAGGGTACTGAATAAAATTGACCCTTACGGCAAGGAGATGAGGAAGTACACAAAACAACAAAACAAAAAATATATATTAAACAAATTGCCCAATATTTCGGCTTGAAAACAAACCTTCTTCAGGGGCTAAAAGAAAAATGAAAATAAAACTCAGTCTTATTTGTAACGAACTTTTAGCTTTATTTTCTTTTTTCTTTAAGCCCCTGAAGTAGCCTGCGGAAGGTAGACGTTTCTCCTCACTCATCGCCGCTTAGGGACGTTTCGCGATATTTTTCTACAAGTTTAATTGTACTAATCCAGGTCTACATCTGGGAGATCCGGCACCATTCATTGGTTTGTTGCTGTGGGCTTGCTGATATTTTATATATAATGAAACTGAGACTTTTGTCCTAAACAGGGTATATATTTTAAGAATTTTTTTTAATCCTAAACAGTGTCAGGGTTTCAAAGTCTCAGCGGCTCACCTCTACCCAAATATATTGGTCAAGTCCCCCCCCCCCCCCCCTTCCCGGCACCTGGGCCGCACTTGAAACGCATGCAAACAGTTGGGTACAACAATGTACAACGAATTGCTGGGTTTCTCCGAGGATATATCTTTTTTATACTACCAGTGTTTTTTAGGCTTTGCTCATACTACGATACTTTGCGCCCGCAAAACTAGGGCTTCCGTTCACACTGTTCGTCTGGATAGGATTTATGTAACGGAGCGTAGCCGAGCCTAGCCTGGGACCAGGCTCCGCTGAAGGGGAAAAAGAAAAAAAAAGGGGTCAATTAGGAAGAATATCGGCGACAATCGACGAGCGAAGCAACCCTTTCTTCCCCTTTCTCCTCCCCAGCCTACCTCTTATTTTCCCGGCCAGGCTAAACCTAGCCTGCTTGGCAGGCATTTGAAAGGGAAGGGAAAGGGGGTTTTGGGCGCGAGGGAAACGCGAGGAGCGCGCGAGGAGGGAGGGCGTTTCTCTCGCACCTAAAACTCCCTTTCCCTTCCCCTGCAAACGCCTGCCACGCAGGCTAGGCTAAGCCCTTCAGCGCTGATCTCTGCAGTTAGTGGGGGAGAGTCACATACTGGTAAGTACCCTGGCTCTTGAGGTCAAAATAGTTGGGATGAAATAACTGTGCGCGCTCTCATGGTCGACACGAAACGCTGTGCGGTATAGCCTTATAATCATTTATGTAAATCAGTATGTTAAACAAACTTTCGTACATATGAAATGGAATTTGAATATATATCAGCAGGAGCCCATCATCATTTGATGGGCTCCTGATATCAGTCATACAGTTCCCCCCAAAACTCCCTATCAGTCAACCGGAGAAAAAGGGTTTTTATCGATTTTCCTATTTCGCTAGAGCAATAGTTGCATCAGTAACTTAGCTGCATATATAAACGAGTGATAAAGTTTCATTTAAGTGCTGGTCGTATAGACGATGAACTGTAGGAATATAAATAATGTTTACAAAATGACAAGTTGTGAAACCATAAGATCGCTAAGAATTTGTCCGTGCATAAATTTGGTGGACTGGTAACTCCGTTACGGTATATCACACGACACAAACATGGCCGCAGCGTCTGCGGCCAGCGTTCTGTATAAAACGCACAAAAACGGGACTTCCTAAAATTTTACTGGAAAGAACCCTTCATCAGTTAACGGCCCCCACTTCACGTTTTCTTATAAACGTTTGGAGTTGAGGAAATGTTGATTTGTTTGCATTCATAGCGAAAAATCGTCGAGGTTGTTTTTCTCGTAAAATGAGTGAACGAGAGGAAAAGCTTTGGAACGAATTTCTGCAAGCGATACGCGACTGTAATGAACATACAGTGGGGGAAATTCTTGTGGAGACAAGAAATCTTAACCTTGGTGGAGGAAAGACTAAATTTTTGACGCGAAAAATAACAACAACTCAGGTAAGAATAACTCATCGTTTCAAGGGTTAACAGACTATGTAACGTGGAAAGTGCATTTTGCATAAGAAATGGAAACCGAGTCGATATATTGTAAATTAGTTGATTAAGCTAAGCGTAAACTCCACGTTAAATAAAGTATTGATCGTATATTTGAATTAACGTTACGTATCCGACCACTAATTTGCATCGCATGTCATGCATAGAAACATATTAGCTTAAAAAAGAGCCATGACGTAATTGAGCGATCCATTTTTTCTTCGCCCACCCCACTACCCCAAGGATCAGGATTGTGGGTTTCTTTAAAAAAAGGAGGGGGAGTTGTATTCTGGGGCAACTTCAGAATACCCAGCCACTTGGCCACAAGGAATAATAATTTTACTTGAAATTATCCCCAGGCCTGAAGGACTGGACTTGTCCCTGGGGTTGCCTGGGGGGGGATGGTAACAAGTAAAATTGAGTTGTCAAAGTAAGCAGCCAGCCCAGGGATATTTTATTTAAATACCAAGCAGAGTAACCAGCTGATACTATTAAACCAAGTAGGTGGTGATTTTCTCAGGCAGCCGGCTGCTTTTGACAACTCTGTTCTTCCGAACGCTGCTCACGCCCAATCAGTAGACTATCTGAGGGTAGGGACATCCATGTTTTGTCATGTAATATTAATTACTGAAATCCCCTGTATTCACCATGTATCACATAATCTTCGAGGTTCCTGAGCAACAAGTAACAGCAAACCCAACCTAAAAGCAGGCTTGTAGCCAGGTTTTTTTTTGGGGAGGTGCGATTCAAGGAAAAACCGGACCAAACAAGGCTGGAGGATCGAAGCAAGTCTTGAGGGGGGTGAACTACATTTAGGTTGTCTGAGACTGTATTACGAACGTGTTAAAAAACATGGATCTTTCTAAAATGTTGGAACTTCCAAATTGATGTTTTTTGGTAAAGAGACAACTTTATTATTTGTCAGAAGATGGATGTACGTGCATAGGAGCCAGTGAAGAGAGCCTCTTTTGTGCTTCGAGTGTTATGTTTTTGCCACAGATAACAGTAGCTATTTTAAACTTTGCTCAAAGACAAAGGGCTACTCAAAAAATGTACAATGGATATCTTCACCTCCTTCAAGCACAAGTGGATCCGAGATCCACCCTTTGTAATTGGCTGTTTAACAGAAAATTTAAAAATGAGAATTCCCAATCCCTGAAATGGCCCGATAAAAATGCATCCAGTCAGAAATGGTTGAACCGCTCTCACCACAAAACGAAAACAAAGTTGGTTAAAAGTAATGTTTCTCCCTAGATAGCAACTGTCACGGCGTAATAACTGCAAATGGAGGAATAATAATATTCTCAGGCTCCAATCTTAAGATTTGCCGGTCGATTTCTGATAGAGGAGCAAAGATAAGAAACTACAGGAAATTACTGTACAGCACAAGATCACATGACCTCTCAGTGAAAGAAACGTTTGCTAAATCCACAAGTTACGAATCCTCCAAAACAGACTTTACCAGTTAAGGACAAATTGAAGGGGCTAGTGACGTATTAGCAAGGGGTAAATACCTTGTAGGTATACCGAATCCCCTTCTTTATAGTTTACAAAGGCTAAAACATGTTTTGTATAATGGGTGAGTCAGGCTTATGAGCTCTTTCACATTATTTTCAATTTTACTACACAATCAGTGAATTAGAAAAGAACAATACTCTGAATTCACTTGTTTTATCTTTGATCAACACTGAAAAGTGGACCTCCGTAACCTGTGGGGGGTGCTAGCACCTGTTGCACCCCCCTCCCTACAGGCCTGCGTTCAGAGTAAAAATTTATTTCTATATTTATGCCTATATTTCTACGGTTCAATGACTATATTAAATTTTCATACAAGATCTATAAATTGTTCGTAATATGCAAAACAGCTAAAATTGACATATGATGCACCAAGCTTGGGCTGCCTGCAGTTTCAACTTTTTTCCTAAACAATAAGTAGCTGTCAGTAGCTGTTCATTTATCCCTCGCACACATTTTGAGACAAATTCAGTGATAGTTGGTTACTATGGTGACAAGATATGACGTTATAAGTAGCAGGTTGTCAAGCCATTTTTAGGTGAAAATTCATGTTTTTTTCAACTTCTTTCAACAATAAATTTAAAGCTTGTGGATGAAATGATGCAAAGTGCTTATTTATGTAATATTTTACATGCCAAGCACAAAAAATTACTATATTTATTGCGGTTTTAAACTGATTTCTTACTCTCGGTAAAATCCAAGATGGTGACCATTGTTGTTGATGTCACAGGCCTCCAGCAGTGTCACCAACCGTAAAATATACCTCATCTTGTTGAGAAGGTAAAAGGCTTTCCACTGAAGGCAAAATTGTTTTGAAATACTGCTGCAGCAACATATCAAAAACTCTGGGGAGGGGTTGCATCAACAACCATCCCCCCTCCCCTTGTACCAAGTTGGGGTTATGAATTCATGTGTATGTCGCAGGGTTAATCTACACTACAGTGTATCGTCAGATCAGAAGAAGATCTTAGGGTTGCCTTAAATTCTCAAGTGCTTTTTCATTTGTTAACAATTTATCAATGGAAACTAACCGGGTTAAGTTGTAAAATATGTACCTTTTTCACGTTAAGCAATTCAACTTAGGGATTTGTTTTCGTAATTTAAAATAGAAGTATGTTTTCAGAGATAAGTCAAGCTTTTGAATAACATTTGTAAAATTAAAAAAGGTTCAAATCTGTCATTACTTTTTTGTTGTTATTTTTATCTCCCAGGGAAAACTTGCAGTATTGCATTTAGCGGTAAAAAATGGTGCAGAGAGGATCATAAAATTATTGTTTGAGAATGGAGTCAATGTGAACGCAACCAGTCAAGTAAGATTTCTCTTCTTTTGCATTTAATCAGTGGTAATCATGTTTGGGAATTTTTTCCTTTTTCAAGCTTTTTAATTTGTACAGCCTGTTCCTCCTCTTCTTCACCTTGCTTGGTCCTCTAAATTGATTAATTTTCTGTGATATTGTAATATTTATAGTCAGAATCTCTCTGCATCAGGGCGGGGGTGCTGGAGTGTAAAGTGTGATTCTCCAGGCACCCGGCCCCCATAGTAACCAATTTTAAATTTCTCCCAACAATATCACATCCAGATCAATTGAAAGATCAAGAGAAAGAATGAAATGATTAGCCCTGATGAAATGTCCTGATGTTTGAAATAATATTTCCTCAAGTACATCATAATAAAAAAATATGGAGATTGAACAATGAGGAGATTGCTCATGTCGATATTGGGGCTTTAAGGATTAAAGTTTTGCAGGTGATCTGAAGTCATGTCTCAGATCAGCCAGTAAATCACATCTAAAAGTCCACCGCTGAATCAAGAAAACCAAATTTCCACTCCGTTTATACATTTAACATTTTAAAAAATAATGTCAGATAAAGGTATGCTGTAGAATTTTGACTCAAGATTGTTATTAGACCAGAAAATGAATGCCAGATCACCACAGTAAATTTCACATTTGATCTGTTTGTACCAACACTGACAAGCTTCTTAAAACAAAATAAACAAGATGGATTGAAATAAACAACGTGGATCGAAATAAACCAAGTACAAGTTCCTACGACGTGACCTTTTGAACCCACTGAAAAATGCCTATGTTTCCTGAGAGGTCATTTAGGGTGTTGGCAGAGGTGGAAAATGTAAACTTAAGGCATATTTTTGACATATTTTTTGTTGTTATTGCAAAAATGTGGCAATGGCAGGGAAGAAATTGCTGGTGGATGACAAAATAACAGCTTGTGTCAGACATATGTCTCCTTGGTGTTATATGTAAAGTTTCGAACAGAAAACATTGTCTAGTGAAACATTTTACTTTCTTGAAAAACTTTTGAAATCATGCTTCAAGTAACTTCTTGTTTTCTTATGAGGTGCTGATTGGCCCACAACCAACTTTCTTGGAATGTAAATGTTATTTACCTGTATCCAATCAGTCAACTTTGTCAAGGTGGCCCCGGTTACAGTAGTCGCACTGTAAATTTGTTGCTGATGTTTGTGTTATTAAAAATACAGTAGACAAACAATTGATTGATGACCAAATAGGTTGTCAATACTGATTACTGAAACTTTCTCAAGCCTCAAGGTCAATGGAGAAGGATTTCTTCACCAAAAATCCTTGAGACCTGGACCAGCAATCAAACGGCTGCAAATGCTCAAAAGCATGTCACAGGCCCTTAAGATTTAATGATGTTGTTTTTTTGCTCCACAGCCCCATAAATTCACTGCTCTTCACATGGCAGTAGAGCAAGATAACAATGGAATAATTCAATTGCTTTTGTCACGAAAAGAAATTAATGTCGATGCATGTGATGAGGTCAGTTTATAAAGTGAAGTAATTGAAGTTAACATTTGCATTTACTTACATGTATGTGTGGGATCAATGGACAATGTAGATGATATACATTTTTCATTATGACCCCTTTTTCATCAAGTGCTATAAATTACTTCATTGCCTATAATTTTTTCCTATCTTCATTTTCATGCCTGCCCTGTAAGGTTGTAAAAATCTCTTTTAAATCACCCCAGCTGGAAAGGCACATGAATAATATAAGGGACGTGTGGAATAATTTAAGCCCTGGATGACTCGTGATGTGAAATTACGTCAAATTCTCTCTTCATTTCAGAAGCATAATTATATAAAAAAATTATCAGAAAAAAATCTACAACCCCATTCATAACAATTTCTGAAATGCTTGTTGATTGTTGGCCTTCTTCCTCTTCAATGTTGGTGTTATCTCAAGGTCTGGATCTGGCACTTGGTGTTGATAAGGTAATGAGGTTCGAGCAAACCTGTCAAACCTACATTGAAGGGAAGAGTGGGGAGATATATGTGTGTTGCAGTTAATTTTTTACTTCAGTAAGTTTTTGTTTTTCCTTTGTTTTAAAACCATTAGCATACATAATTTTCCATGCCCAAAAACAAATTTAGAAAAAAATAAAATAAAAGGAAATAATTAACTGAAATAAATAATTAACTACAACATGTGCCTATACAGTACTACACAGTTGAGTCTCTTGTGTTCTCTAGAAGTGTTTCAAGGAATTATAGCATTCTATCACAAGTCACTCATGCTTTTTTTTACCAAGCATCCCATTTCCTATAAATTGAGGCTGATAATTTAACTGGGAGTTTTCTGTCAGATTTTTCTCCCTCTGTGAGGATCACAGGTGATTCTCTATATGGGCTATTTGCGCCAGAATCAAAGTTGCGTAGATAATCGAGGAAATGATAAACTTTATAAATTAAGAATTAATATAAAGAATTGATTATAAGTTCATGAATAATAAGGAGTATGAGACAAAGGAAATCGAGAATCAACCATAAGGGTTAAAACATCTTAACCTGAAATTAATTTTGAACTGTAACATATATACAAGTGGCTCCTACTCCTAAACGAATAAGGAGACCCCCTGATTTTATTTAAAAAATTAATGTGAATTTTTATTAACAACATCCTGCTGTAAATTATAACAACCAGTTGTTAAAATTTGAAGAAATCTCACTGCAGGTTCTATTGCAGACGATAAAACTCTGAGCGTGAAAATAAGACTGTAAAATGTAATTTTTTAAACATTATTATTTTTCTTATTTCCACAGGAAATTGAGTGTTTCATGAAAACTTTTATTGTATTTTTGTCTTGTATTTCTTGTAGTATGGGCATACTCCATTAAAGCTGGCAGCAGAGAAAGGAAATCAACAGACAGTAAAATGGCTTATTGAGAAAGAAGCTGACATAACCAAAGCTGACTCAGTAAGTTTAAGGTTTTTTAGCTCTTCAAAAATGTTTTTTTTTAAGCCAATACTTTTTATTAAATGTCATGATTAGTCCTTAGGTCTATTACTATCCAGGAATGATAATATTCTTTATAAAAAAGTGATAGTCATCATCTTCATTCTGCTTTTGCCATTGGGATGGCGATGCTCTGTACAATCACACCTGATCCAGAAGTAAATTGTTTGCAAGAGTCTCCCTGTTGAATCCAGAATCTATTAAGACCATAATTATCTGGCCATGGATTGCCATTTCCCTTGAATATACAGGGCTGTTAAATTGTACATTTAAATAAGTTTTGGTCCCTTTTTCGTTCAGGTTGACAACACAGCCATTCATGTTGCAGCTGACAAGGGGCACTATGGTGTGTTACAGTTGTTATTATCGTCAGAAGCTTTTGCTAAGAATCCAGGGATCATTGGCAAGCAAAATAAGGTACAGGTTTTTAAATTCTTCTTGGGGCAATGGGGGTAGTGGGATGGGGAGTGGGGCAGATTGAAGGAGGTATCAATTAAATCCAAATAAAGTTTACTTACCCTGTTATGTTGACTCCTCCTTCGACCTTGCTCGATCAGAAACTTTAAGGTAATTCACTTCAAATGGATAATAATGTACTATCCAGAAGTTTTTCAAACTTGGCACAATTAAAAGTCATGTATAGGACATTGAAGAAGCGATGATGATGGGGTCACTGGCTGTGGTTTTGCCCAGCTTGCCTGTTATACTTAGAGTTTTTGACTGCATGAGTTGCATGGAGAATGTTTAAAACTTGAAAACTGTTAAATGCTTGTAATTCTTTTTTATTATTTAGCAAGAACTACAAAAATTGATAGTCATGTATAAGACATGCCAAAAAAAATGCAATAAAAAGATGGATTCACTGCTCTGGGTTTTTGCCTGGGTTGCCTATCATATTTTTGAGTGTTATATTCTGATTTGCGTGCAAAACATTCAGATCTTGAAAACTGTCTGTAACAGGACAGTGAAATGGCAATAGTTATTAAGCCTTTAAGTCCCAATAGTGACCTACATCAATTTTCTCCTAACAATATCCATACAATGTCAAGAGATTAGGTTATGCAAATTAATTAAATGATCACCAAAGAGAAAATGCTTTGATCAAATTCTCTCAACTTATTCTTTAAAGAAATGTTTAGAGATTGGTTTGGAGAATTTGCTTGTGGATATTGGGGCTTAAAGGGTTAATGCTTCAAATCGGTCCATTTTATGCAAAGGGACTGGGTCAAAACCCTTTGCCCAAAACTTATTTCAACTGACGAGCAAAAAAATTGAACAGAATATACCAGCCTGATAGCAAAAACCACTTGCCCCAGGCTACTGGACATTACTTTCTTTGCATGCTGCTACATCCAAACCATACCCCCCAAGAAAAAAAATTCATTTCTATTCTCGGTGTAGTTTGGTGTAGTATTTTTTTTTAAGAGAAGTGAAAAGCTTTAAGTTCTAATTAACTTAAAGGAACTTCATTCAACAACTGGAACAGTTTTTGAAAACAATTATGGGCTGGATTGTATAGAGAGAAGTTGTCCCTGGTAGTGGAATTGATGGGTCACCCAACAACTTACCCGAACTACCCTGGGCGAGCCAACTTTACATGCATTTCCTTACAAGACATGGCAGTAATTGTTACATGAGAAACAAAAAGCAAGCTCGGTTAGTAGGGTGGCCCACCTAGCCAGGACGCACCCTTTTGTGGTGGTAGGGGCTCCCCTAGGGGGGTACTCCCTTTTAGTAAAATCCAACTAGTGGTCTATTATCAATGTTGCACTCTGATTGGTACAGCTACTACTAGGCTATATGTTATAGCCCACTAGTAGCGATAAGTGCTGGCTTTAAAAACCAAAACAATGGCGGCTGAATCGCGTTTTGCTAGTTAAAGTTGCTTTGTCTTGATATTTTTGACCCACTAGTTGGATTTTACTAAAACAATTATTCCTCTCGCCCTCATGGCCTCTGAGTCAATAGTCCATTCGGCCTTCAGCCTCATGGGCCAACTCTCCTCCATATAAACAAAGCCAAGTTTGTCCTTCTTTGTTTTAGCAATTTAATACGTGCTCGACCAGTATCTAAACACACTTAGCATGCAGCGGAAGCATGTTGTGAGCATGCTTTTGAATATCTTTAGCTGTCAAATCCTGTGGTGGGTCACATATAAACACTTTAGCTTGCCTAGCTGGGTCAACTTTGGTCAAGGCAAGACAATCAGAGCATACGCAAGTGCTGTTTTGACAATCAAAGCCTGCACTAAGTGATGTTGGCTTGGGCAAAGGAGTCAACTTTTCCTCATATAATCGTTTGCTAGGGTTGACTCGGCTGAGACAGGTTTTTTCTGTACAACAGGGCCTAAGCAAGCCTGAGAAAACAGCCGACATTTGACGACGTTAACCATTGGTTTTCCCGCCAAATGACGTCAGCGAAAGGAGCGCAGAAATTCCATTCTGATGACGCGTCACTACCCAGATCTGGGTAGTGCTTCTGATTGGTCGTGCCGCGTGGGAAATTTAATTGAAACAATCAGAAGCACTACCCATTTCTAGGTAGTGCTATTTATTGTCGCTATTGCCATAATTTGCAACAAACGTACATGGTATCAAGTGTAAAACTGACAGCAAACATGGATCTTTAAAGACATTATTTTATATGTATTTATGTTGTAGAATTATATGTCAATAATTCTAAGAATATATCTTTCCTTTATTGTAGGATAAAAATACTCCTCTTCACTTGGCTGTGGCGCGGGAGTGCCAAAATTGTGTTGCTCTGTTGTTGTGTTATGGTGCTGTTTCTTCACTGGAGCTAGAAAACAGGGTAAGAATCCAGCCTCAATGTATTGTGCAACGGCAATGGCGACAGCAACGAGAACCGCGAAAAAAGCAATAGGTTTAGATCACCAAAAGAAAGTTTTTCACGTTCATCACCCTTTTGTGTACATTTTTTTTACAAACTGCTTTATTTCACATTATGTTGTGGACGTGAACACAAGGTAACCACTTCCTAATTCTTTTTTTAACCTTACAATACAATCATTTAGAATTCAGCTCCAGAAAAAGATCACCACCATTTGAGAAATTGAATGACATCGTATATGTGCGATGAAAGCTCTCTATTCTCTATGTCACACTCTTATAGATCATACGTGTTTCACTCAGAAGTTTTGGATCATAAACTGGGCCTGATATGTAGCTGAGCTGGGGATGAATGCCTCCTACTTATTGAGGGCACGGTTGGGTACTCAATACATAGAATTGGAAATTTTAGGCTAAGAAAAATAGTCACAAATGCCGAGATCTAAAACCTATGAATCAAAATTATATCGTTTGTTACGTTACTTAATTGGTTAGTGCTATTTACATGAAGGAAATCGTCGCAATTGTGATATACAATTAAATTCTTGGACATTAGCCAAGATCAGCGCCCCTTTAAGGCGTATCCATAGCCTCTGTCAGTAGCGTTACAGTGCTCTACCAACTGATCTATGAAGACCCATAAATTACGAGTAGGCCAATTGTTGAGTTCATTTTAACCCGCGAAAGGTAGAGTTATGTTGCGCTTAGACAGAGAAAAATAATTTGAACATCATCCATCATCATCTGTACTATCACAAGAAATATTAGCCGTTGTCCCCAGACTGGGCTCCTGACCACCATAAAGTGCGCAGAAAATTTGGATCCCTCTGAAAATGGAAAGTTAAAATGAAATGAAGATGCTGTAAAACCTATAGAATATTCCAAAGAAGTAAAACAGACAATTTTTAAAGTTCCAATGTCTCTCTTTTTTGCTGAGATAGAATCGAAGTTGTCTTGACTTCATTGTGTAGATTACCAAGTTAAACCGAGTTTTTCTTGTAGTCCTTTAATAAACGCCGAATTCTTCTGATTATTAAATCTTGGATGGAGTTTATTTGAATAAATATGATACATTATATAATTTCGTTAAAAAATGTTTTGAGTAAAATGTGTAAAAGTGTTGACTACAATTATTTTTGGCCTAGGGTCAAGTTGTAGGATAATGCAGCACTGTGCATCAGTTTGCACTTGTAACCCATGTGGTACCAGTCGTGTGAGCCTTTAACAACATTTTTCTAATTACTCACTTTGCAGCATAATGAAACACCCAAGCAGATAGCAAAAGGGAACAAAGTCATCACCGAACTTCTGGAGAATCCTTCAAAAGCCAGACAGGTCAGCATTGTAAGACATCATGTCTCTTACTCTTGTTTTCATCTGGGGTCCTAGTTGGAAAAGAAACAACATTAACATTTCATTTCAGAATGATATTTCCCCCAAAAAACCGTGAGATTGGGAGTTGTCATGAGGTCGTGAGAAAAGTTAAAAGTGAGACTCGCGGCAGATCGTGAGAGTTGGCAGGTCTGTTATCGGGCTAGTGTAATTTTGTCGATTTATAGCTGGTTGATAGGTAGTCTAAATTAACCGTATCCACCACTAAACATTTCCTAATCCCCATGATGCTACCATTCGCATGTTACCTCTTTGACAACAATTTGAGTCTTGCTGATGTCGACTCCGTGAGGGCCCATCACGAACAACTGACCAATCAAGAACTGTTCCATTCAGTTGTTTAGAACCCTTCTAATAAGTTTCCACAGTTTGTTACCAAAACCGTGCAGCAGGCTTACATTTTATTTAAGGAGACAGAATTCTTTCAATCTACACAAGTAAAAAAACCTTTCAAACTAAGAGATTAGATTTACGGACAATTTTATCAACAAGAGTCGGTTCTCTGACAATGTTTCCTGATTTTTTAGATTTTCAATTACATTGTGGTTATTACTGAGGTGTCATGGCGGGGCTCCACAGAGCCCCATACTCACAGAATATGGTGAACCTCTTTTTGTTTGGTTGTCACGTGATTGACCGACCGTACGTATGTACGCGTCTACAGATTGTAAGGGTGGAGTAGGGGAGACTATCAAAAGGGAGGGACGGGTATCTCAGGCGTGTCTTGGCAAGTCCACATCTTGTATATTGGACATTCACAAAATGGTCATTTGACAGCTGTCAAAACAGGATAGCCACTGACCAGTATCACATGACCATATTGCGGGTTCATGTTTCAACTCATCGAGGTGACGTGATTCATTTGGAAGCTGTCCGCTGACCAGTTAATTGTTTTACTAGATCACGACAGGAGCCCATCATTTGATGGGCTGCTGAACACGATCAATGTTCAATCTCATACTTTCTAGCTAGTTTGAGAGCACAGGAAAACTGATAATGCAGACATGTTGGACATCAATGTTGTGATCAACTGACAGCTGTCAAAACAGGGTATCCGCTGACCAGTATCACTTGACCGTATTTCGGGCTCAGGTGTCGACCCATCCAGGTCAAGTATTTTTTGAAGTTATCCGCTGACAAGTTACTAGTTTTCAAATGATCGCAGGCTCAAGTTTAATTTTTTTTAAATTCAGATGAAATATGTCGTGCATTTCTGCCGCACAATTAAAATTTTGATTTCAAACTGATCTCGGACGCGAAAATTCAGCCAGCTATTACAGCCAGGGAAGAGAGTTGCTTTTGACTTTGCTCACCATGATCACGCGTTGGTCACACTCTTCGTCCAATTTTTATGCGCTGATTGGTCAAAATTTGATAGGTGAGTTCATGCGGAAAATTTATGCGGCATCTTGAATCTTGTTTACTTTGACAGCGGAAGCTGACAGAGTTTTGCGTCAACTTGTGATGTTTTTAACTGTTTTTTTCCACTGGATGTACAAAATGAAATTCAGCTGTTATCAGGAGTCTTCTGTTATTTATGGCTAGTTTGTTTATTGGGTTTTTGGTTGAGAAATACGTCACTTTTCAAAGTCGGAAACCCGATTTCGGATGGCATCGTTTTCGTTTTTCACCTTGCTTGATGCATAAGAGGGTTGCAAAGTCTGAAGCGGTACTGGCCTACTTGATACCTTTCAGGACTGCATCTTGAATGGTAAGCCTGAGTCAGTATTTTATTTGATGTTTGTTTGTTATATCTAATTTAATGAAGTCGAGCGTAGTTTATGCGGCTATTTAGTTTATGCACGTTTGTAAGATTTGAGATAACGATCTGACCGAGTATCAGTTTTGATATAAGCTTACAGAACTTAAAAAAGCCTTTAGACATTTTCTCACCGCAAATAAAAAGAAAACGGTCCAAAGAATATTTAGTTATAATTCTGGCTGTATAAGAAAGCTTTAAGCGATTTTCTTGCCTCGAGTTCATCTTTGAAAAGAAGCAAACGCCGGGAAGCCGGTCTAAAAGATGAACTTAAGCTTTAAGCTTGAAGACTCAGGATTTTTAGAGACGCTTTAATACTTGTCGTCGCGAATGAAAATTGTTGTCTCTGTATATGTTTCACCGGAATTATGTTTCTCTTATTGATTGTTAGTAGTCTCTCTTGTAATTTTAATCGCTGTGCCGTTTGTTTTCAGTCGTTCAGTGAACATCGCTTGCAGGGGTACTCAAAATGCCGCGCGTGTCAAACGCTTTTGAAGTGTACACATCGATAAAACCATTAAATGAAAGTAAGAAATTCTTTGTTATTCTATGTTAATGTTCATTCAAACACGACCACAGCTCGCTCTGCAAAAGTGGGAACCAGCTGATTTTGGAAATTTTTTTTTAACTGTTTAGCTAAAAGCCCACGCGTGCTTCGATCGATCGTCCTGAATATTGAATGAGTGCACTTTGGATTGCAAAATTGTGAAATACTGCATTCTGTCCGAGGTCTGTATGATAAAAACAGTGCCTCGTAGTACTGTTTCACCTCAGATGTGATGTTTAAATGGTATAAATGGTTGGTTTACACGCACCCAGATTTGTTGGCAAGATTTTGTAAAGTAAACTTGTCGAACACAAAAAATTCGGCCTGATTTTTTTCCAGGCCTAATTAATCTACGGTGATCAAGAACCATTATGGCTCTTAAATGTGATCGAAGATGATTGTTTTTTGGGGGGTGTACATATGAGGCTATCTTGGGCTGTTTGCAAATTATTTTTCTCTAAAATTACTACTTAGCCTTTCCCTCAAAAGTCATGAAGGTCGGTCACGCATGTCGGTCGCTCCGTAGGTTAAGCGGCGTTTTACTTCTAGTCTTGTTGTTTAGCCGGTTTAAACAGTACTCCGTGGAATCTGCATCAACACGATTCTATTTGGGGACTAGACTGTCCGCAACTCCTTCGGTAGAAGGTGGAAGAACACTTTGCTCCGAGTTCACTCGCCCATCTCAACGACGGCCATGTTCTATTCCAAAGATACTCGAGCTTTGCAAGCAGTCTGGTGTTGCTCTTTGCCTAATCTGCTTAGCTGGCGATCTTGAGCTTAATCCTGAGTCTGCTGCGAGGAATGTCCGTGGCATATGTAGAACGATTATCAAGAAAAACCAATCTTCTGCGGACTGCTCGGTTTGTCTAAAGTCGATCCATCTTACATGCTTTGGGCCTTAGCAAATCCTGTAGTTTGTGCACTTGTCAGAATCATTCTGCTAACGAAAATGAGAACAGCCTGGTCGACAATGGCCTATTTCTATCGCAGAAGTTAAGTGACATCTCAGCGATCAAGGGTTTTAAGATTGTCCACCAACATATTAGTGGTCTGACCGGTAGGATTGATGAACTGCGTCTCATCGTTTCCGAACTGCGCTCGAGTCTACAGTTTGAGTTTCTCTCAAACCTGGGCACATAAAGATATCGCGGACTCTGAGCTTGGGATTCCTGGCTACAAACTTTTTCGCCGAGACAGAGGAAATAAAGGGGGTGGCCTTGCAGTGTACGTAAGAAATGATATGAAAGTTATGCGTTGGCCCGACCTTGAAGAATCGACTATCGAGGGTCTTTGGGTCGAAGTTTGCCCACCGAAATCGCGTAGCTTTCTAGTTGGCACATTTTATAAGCTGCAACGTCTTCAAATCATGCGGTCAAAGACTTCATGCCTATATTTGGCAATTGTCTTAGGCGTGCTACGGCTATGGATAAAGAGGTGATCATCACAGGCGATTTAAATTGTAATTTATTACCAAAACGGACCACGGAGTCAGACTGTAAACAACTCAAGGCGCTACTGAGACAAGAAAACCTCACTTAGCTCATAAATCAGCCCACTCGTATTACTCAATACTCCAAAACACGTTTGGATATTATTATCACGAACTCTCCCCATAACATTAGAGAGTGCGCGGTTTTAAGTTTGAGTGTGAGCGATCATGACATGGTTTTTTGCGTAAGAAAGTTAAACTGGATGAAAGCTGCCCCAGAAACAAAGAGTTTCAGGAATTATGCAAAATACGACCCTGCAAAGTTTTGTGAAGACCTTAGGGCCTGTTTACATGGAGTGGGGGACCCCGGTCTAGTGGGGTTGGTTTCTTTTGTTTTCACGTTCTGGAGGACACAAAACAAAAGGAACCTACCCCACTAGACCGGGGTCCCCCACTCCATGTAAACAGGGTCTTAGAGGTGTTAATTGGGTTGATAGTATGAATTCCTCTGGGACAGAAAATGCGAATGTCATTTGTGTTGACGAACTCTGGCTCAATTTTAAGTCCGCATTCCTTAAGGTGGTGATCGTCACGCCCCACTTATCCAGAAGCGAGTACGTGGTGTAGATAATTGTCCATGAATGACTGGCCAAATAAAGAAAGACATTAGTCAGTGTGACTACTTTTTAAAAAAGGCGAAAAAATCATCCCGTGACGAAGACTGGCTGCGTATAAATCTATGCGAAATCGTGTGACGAACTCAGTAAAGAGGGCAAAACAAACACACAACAAGAAGTTAATTGATAACCATAAAGATGACACCAAAGCCTTCTGGAGAACAACGAAGAAGATCATTCCCGGGAACAAGAGCTCTAGCGGTTCCAAAAATATCAATATTGACGGTGTGCTTTGTAGTGAAGCCAGTGATGGAAAGAAAATTGCTAATGGTTTCAATAATTTTTTCGCCTCAGCCGCTGTACGTCTTAAGCGGGCTCTCGGTAGTGTTTCTTTTAAAAAAAGAAGCGTTGATCAAAAAGTTGATGCATCAATACCAAATTTTAAATTTGAATTGGTAAATGAGTCGCTGATTGTTAAGACACTTCAAGGTCTCCAAGAAAGCAAGGCTAGTGGTCTTGACAATATATATCCGCGTATGATGAAAGATGCTGCAGTAGTTAATTGCCAAGCCGCTGACTCGAATTGTAAATGAATCATTGTCGCAGGGAACAGTGCCGAGTGAGTGGAAGTACTCAAAAATAACCCCACTGTACAAGAAAGGAATGTCTACCGATATGGATAATCACCGTCCAATTTCGGTTTTACCTTTTTTAGGATCTTTTTCTATTAGCTTAGTTAGGACTAGTTTAAAGTATTTTTAACATATTTTTATATTTCTTTTTTATCTAGATCCTCTAAGGATATCAGTTTTTGTAACTGTAGGAGTTACCCTAGCTAAATAAAAGTATCTTCTTCTTCTTCATAAATGTGCTCTAAAGTTAACTGAATTTTGGAATGCAAAATTATTGTTTGATTTAATTATAAATTTATTGATGGGAGCCTCGCTTTTAGCCCTGGCTAAATCTATATATTATTTTTTGCTAAGGATAGTTTTGGATCAATTAATTTGTAAAATTGTTCAATATAGTGCGATTAATAAAACACAGTCTATTCTTTACTATTCTGGTTAGCTGTAAACCAATTAGTTATTATAGGGACTCTTATCTAGAGAGTATTGCAGGTTGACAGCTTCCTGATCAGACGTAGGTATGAATTCAGCGGAATCTCGTTTGTGAGATGTGTTTAAAGTACGGTATATGGACCACTGAGGTTTTATTGATCAGCAAGTTTGAATGGTTATACTCGAGGCCTGTGTGTTGCAAGTCCCATGGGGACACAGCAGTCAGAAAAGTGATAACTAATAAAATATATTTATTGTTGAATAGAACTGATGGGTGAGTTTTGTTTTGTACAGCGTTTAATAAAACTGCCCACGCCAGATGTCCAAGTGGTTGGAAAAGGTGGTTCAGTGGAAGCTGATGGCACAGGTATATTTTATACTCATTACACTTATTATTATACATTGTACCCACTATCTGTCTTCTCATAGGCTGAGAGCCTACAGCATATTTTGGAAATCAGGGCAACCTACAGATTAGTTAGTTATCTGCTAGCAGATAACTGACTAATTTGTAGGTTGCACGGGCAATGCATAATTTCCAATAACAATATCAATTCAGGCTCCTTGCGACGGTGTGTTTGCCGTTATTTTCTTCTAAACGATGTATAAAAGCAATTATTAGATTCGGTTTTTGTGATATCCTGAATAATCAAGGTCTCAGTAAGTGTTATCAGCCTCGGCCTTCGACTCGGCTGATAACACTTGCGTAGACCTTAATTATTCCGGATATCACAAAAATCTCTTCCAATATTTGTTTACAATCACCGGTACAACACATTGTACAGTCTCTTATTTGACATACTTAGTGCTTTGTCATGAGTTTCTCCCCCTTAAAGACATAAGAACATCTGTTAAATATGGAGGTTTCACATGATACAAATCTAGGTAAGGGAGGTGCAGTGCAGGTGAGAGCATTCGCCTCCGACCAATTGAATGTGGCCCGGGTTCAAATCAGCGTTGACACCATAATTATGCAAGTTGCTTGGTCTGTCCTTTACTCCAAGAGGTTTGACTCCAGGACTACTCCAATTCGATCTGGAAAGCATAGACACGTTCCTTATGTTACTAAATCCTCGCTTGGTTATGTGTCTTCTTTGAGCATGAGTAATTCAATTGAGATTCACTTACTTCTCGTTTACATTATGATCATTTCATTTTGTTCACACATTAAAAATTATTTTATGAAATAAATGAAATAGCTTCACACATCGAAGGCCTGTAACTGCCCATGTGGAACCACGTCCCTTAATGTACCAGTTGCTTGTGGCGTCAGTTTATTTTGAGTGGCCCATTTATAAAGGAAAGCGATCTTTTAATACCAGACGTCCCAAAATAAGTATGATTCCGTCAAACAGTCCAGAGAGAAACACAAAAGAAAAAAAGTAACAAAACAAAACAAACCGAAAAAATCTTAACTTTGTCCTACCGGCCACCACCAACGTGTTTTTCCTTCAAAATAGTTTTGGGTTCCCCAGTGTCTCCGAAAAACCTTTTCGCAAGAAAGTGAAACCCGGTATATTTCCAGCAGAGATAAAACAAACAAGGAACGGAAAGTGATAGAAGCAGGGAGGAGTGAAAATGAAAGGTAAAAGTCGAGGGGGCAGTGAAAAAAACCTTTATTACCTTCTGTGCATGGCCGTACTTTGAAGGTTGTGACTGTAATTTCTTATCAGGAACAAACGCTTGCGTACTATAGCTACTTGACTTGTAAACAGCATTTTGTGTAGATTTGGTTCTTCTGGCACAAAAGTAACCAGCAAACGGATCGAGTAACTTTAACCTTGCACTGCCGGTGGGCACACGTCTTTGTCAAGTAAATTGCATGAAATTTCACATTTTACAACATAAAACTGATGTAAGATCCTGGAACCAATAAGTTGCATAAATGTTGTAGTTAATTTTTATCTGACGTAATTTTTATTTTTCCTTTGTTTCAACTTTATTAAACATACATTGCCATGCCAAAAACAAAAGAAAAACAAAATTACCTGAGGTAAAAAATTAGCTACAACATAAATCTTGGTGTTGAATGTAAACGTTCGTGGCTAGCTTCTGACGTCAAGTCCAATCACACTGACTCTTTATTTAAGCACCAAACGTTAGCAGTTAAATTTGATGTCATGTTTTGTTGCAACAAGATGCTGGTGCATTTTGAACAGCCACCTGAAGATTTCCTGTCCGTGTTATCTAACAATTTCACTAAGGTGGTAGCTTGTATGCAAATTTCTCCCATGATTTGTCATTTTCCCGTTTTAAAGCCAGACATTTAGATGTCATAGTACAAGATACAAGTCTTTTAATATGCAAGTATTTTAACTAGGCTTCCGTCAAAAAACGCAATTTTAACGGGAGTTCACAAACCCGTGGTTAAGTGGGGGAAAATTAAATCCGGGTTAGGCTTAACCGGGGATTAATTTAACCTTCCTTTTGAACGACCGGGCCCTACTTTAGGCCCCTGCTCCTATTGACATCAAAGTGTACAAATCCATTTTTGATTTAACTGTTTGCTTCATAATTATGTTGTATAATTAGCAATTAATAAATGAGACAGAGTAGGATGTGAAGAATTAAGCAGATCGAGGAGGGTGTTATCCACGATAACACCCTCCGGGATCTGCTTTATTCTTCATATCCTACGAAAGCCGAATTCATTAATTGTTTTATTATTCATTCAAAATAATTTCTAGTTTAAAAACATAGCTAAGACATGCTTACCTGCATCGATGTTAAGTTTGTCTTCGATAGTGTACGTTTAGGTTTGTCCAGTTCCGCAAATATTCTCCAAATAGCAGATGTCGCGCTCCGTGTTGTGTTCTTGCTGTTTTTGCCATGATTTTAGCTATTATTTCGCCTAGCTCCAGCTGTAGAAACGAGTGAAGTGTCCGCCAATTTTGCTTCACAACGAAAACAACTCAACCCCGTCCCCAGGTCTTCTCGGTTAACGGTACATTAACCTGTAGCGGGCTGCATTTGTGACGTCATTTCCTCGTTAAACACAAATTTCTTCCAAATTTGGTCATCAGTAACTGGTTATGGTGAGTTATGCGTGTGTTTTTAGCCAATCAGAATTGGGGAAATATTTTGAATGACTAATAATGCATGTTATGTTGCTACTAATTTTAAAAGAGTTATGGTATTGTAAAGCGCCACGGACAATTAGTGGAGTATGGCGCCAAATAAATGCATTTTCATTTTTCATTTATAATTAACGTAAGTCATTTCAACTTGATTAAGTCAATAATACTTAGACCTTAGTTATATTTATGCTTCATGTTCCTTTAGATAGTATTATCGAATCAGTTATTGCTGTTGGTGGAGTCTCGCTTTGGGTGAACTCTGTTTGCTGGGATAACCAATAATGACAATTCCAGTTTGGGATGAATTTGGCCACAAGAGTGGCCGTTTTATTTCATTTAAGCATATACAGCTAGGAAAATCCAGATACACAAGAAGATTATCCCAGCAAAGGTGAGGGCACACCCGCCATCCGGGACATGAAAGTGGAGCAAAAGGGGAGGGAAGGGAGGGAAGAAATGTTTTCTAACTTTCTTGTTGCAGTGAGCAGAGAGGCTTTGTGCCTCGCTTTTGTCTTAAAAACACACATATAATTTCCCGGATGGCAGGAACGCCCCCTTACTAGTAAAGACTTACTAGCAGCTGGAGAAATGACTCATTAATCAGTCATATTAAGCATAAAACCATTTATTTCGTTCAGAAATAAATTTCATTTCTAGCACAGTTTTGACATCTATTAACCAGATATATAAAAATAACAAATTGTCTTGTAGCAAGAAGCCATTTTATTCTTTTGCACCATTGCAGAACATGTACTTATACCACAGCCAACCGATGCTTCACATTCCTTAGGATTACCCCACGGTTAGTTGCACATTATGTAAAAGAATGCTTAAATAGATCACCATGAAAAAAGAAAAACAAAATTTGTCCATATGGTTTTTAGGGTTCGGGGTCCTTAACTAGGAGATCAACCTTGGAGGGCTGTAATTTTGTGAAAATGGCAGTCTTAAAACATATCCTGTGGTTATTTACTAATAGTATTTCTCCTCCAAGGAGACTAATTTACTTCCAGGCATAGTCAAAACTGGACTGAAACTCGCCCGACGATCCTCCCACCAGACAGTGCCTGCACAGCAACTCAGTAGTTAGATAAATGCCATCATGCTGACCCTTCAGTACAGATCTTGACGTCCTACTGGATCACAAGTCTTTTCTAACAATCAATTAATCAATAGTCATCGATTTCCATCGAAAATCATTATTAATCAAAGTCACAACTTTTTTCTCTATCGATTTCTTTGGATTGGTATCGAAAATCGATATGATTATCCATCGAAGATTGTTATAGATTACTAAAGATTGTTATCGATTGACTATGCCTATCCTGAGAAAACAGCCGGCATTCCGCGACGCCACCACTGGTTTCCGCGCTAAATCGACGTCTGAGAAACGAGCGCAGAAATTCTATACGGATGACGTGTCACTACCTAGGTCAGGGTAGTGCTTCTGATTGGTTGAAGCAAATTTCCTTCATGGCACGACCAATCAGAAGCACTACCCAGATCTAGGTAGTTACGCGTCATCAGCATGGAATCTCTGCGCTCGTTTCTCAGACGTCATTTTGCGGGGAAACCAGTGGTGGCGTCGCGAAATGTCGGCTCTTTTCTCAGGCTAGACTACGCCTGATTTGCTTAGAAGGTGAGCGTGTGGCTGATGTGACTGCGTTGTTTTAAATAGTAATGTACCTGACAGCATCGCAAATTACATTTCGTAATGAATTCAAAACTGACGTTCGTGAAGGAGGATTTGCAGCAATTGGACCCCAAAGTGAGGTTCGTGTGGGACAATCATCAGCTGTGACTACTCGGTTAGTGCTTGATTTTATTGTAATAGAGAGAACTTGTCATGTTTATTTCAGACTAAAGGTTAACAGAAGTTTTTTGGCTTCCTTTTCGAAGTTTCTTAATTTTTAGAAGTTTGGAAACTACTGTTGGAAGAATGCTCGTGTCTGTCTTTAACATGAAGTTGTCAGTCTCTGAGTGATGTCAAAGAATTTAATTTGCTTAAGTGAAATGACAAACCAGCCCGTAAAACTTTGGGTTCCGGGATTCAGAAAGCAAGATGGAAGCTGCCACCCAGTTTGGGAGAAAGGACAGAATAAGGGATAAAGAGGGAGAGGTGGATGGACTTAGATCGACTTAAGTCTTTTTTCTTTTCCTATCCTACCTCTCTAATCAGCGATATTCATGTCTTCCTCGTCAATAGATAGTCACGGCCGTTTTGCTTGTTCTTGTTCTTCCTATCGCATGCCTTAACAATTAAAGATAATTATGAAAGAAACTGTGGTTCCTTAGAGCGACTTTCGTATGACCTTGAAATGAAAACGCGCGAACAAAACAGAAACAACAAACGGACGGAAATAGAGCGATTTGATTGGTTTATCGAACCGATATAAACGCGTGGCTTTTGGTTGGTTAAACGAATGTACCTATCAATGTAAAGCCGGCGAGCGGGGGGGGGGGGGGAGGGGAGGGGGGCAGGGTACGGGGTGGGGATTTGATTGTCTTTGTTGGCCCTGGGGTAGGGCATTTGACTGATCTTGTTCTCCCAGGGGAGGGGATATTTGAATCGTTCTTCACCCGACGTGGAGATATTTGACTGCCGACTCGGACGAAAAAGACTGAGACCGAACATATGTTGCCCGCTTCCACGCTTCACGCGTGCGCCGTACGGTTTGAAAAGATCAGGAAGTCATGGAGGCCAATGAGAACAAGCGAAGGCTGAGTGGATTTCACTGTTTTGTCTTCAAATTTCGTTTGTTTTAGCGTGTTTTTGATCAATTGAACCTCTTAAAATACTGTGGTATCAAAGTAAACGGAAGTAAAGAGAAACCAAGTCGATTTTTGCAAGTACAATTGATTAGTGTATGGCTCATTCGCCACAATCAGTGCAAACTTATAAAACTGACTTTATTTGTACCCCTTACTAAGAACGGTATATTTAAACTTACAAAATGTGGACTTTCTCCTAAAGGTTTATGTATTCTACGCAGTGTAACACGGATTATGGTTAAAATGTATAATTGCAGCTGTAACAGGAACATGTATCTTTGGTGATGCAGCAACGTTTATAAAAGATTGCAGAGTTTTATTTGGAGAGACTTTTATTGCGCCTTTCTTAGGTTCTGCCTTGGGATTGACAGCAATGTGCAGCCTGGGGTGGGGAAATTTGGTTGCATTTGACTGGAATGATTTGCCCGTGGGCAGGGAATTTGATTGCAAATATTTGAAAAAAAAAAAAAATCCCCACCCTATGCCCATCCCCCCCCGCCGCCGGCATTACATTGATAGGTGCAAAACGCTCGGGTGAAAAAACTTCATGCTCGAGAACTGTCTAGAAATCAATCGATACTTCGCTTTGACGTTATACTGCGACACGATTGCCAATTGCACAATGCCTTCTCCATATTAGGGTTTTCTTTGGCGGGAAAACGAAGAGTCCATGTGTTGATCTTTTCATCCATTGGCTGATGAAACAAATAACGAACACTCACCTAAAACGTGATTGGATATTAACGACATCTAAATGGTCTTCGTTTAGGCGTCTCCTTGGGTTAGGTGGAAATGTGGACTGGTCTGTGGAGTGGGAGTCTATGTTAAGCTTCAGTTTTATCCTTGGTTTTCATTTTATTTTAGGGGGTTTGGTAATGTATGATAATAAGTTGTTTTAAAAGAAAGGAAAATGAATTCAAACCAAGGAAATTGAACCACAACATGTGCACGCAGGTTACATCTAAACAGAGCTGATAAGTATTGACAGTATTGACCGCGGTGATAACAGAGAAATTTCCCAAATCTGAAGCTACGATTGCCATTTTCCCTGTAATATATAGATTTAGCCAGGGCTACAAGCGAATCCTCCGTTTCTATACTTATGATAAACGCAATCCAATTAAAGTAATAACATGAACTCTAAACCAAAAAATCTTCACATCCCTAAGAGCCTTCGGCATCAGACACCTTTAGAGGGAGGGGCTAAATGATTAAGAAAAAAAATATCCCGCAAACAAACCTGAATTGAAAAAATTGTTAAATTGTAAGTCTCTTAAGTATCGGTGATTCTGTGTTTAAGGGAAGACGTAAAAGTAAAATCAGGCCGACTTAAGGACTTTGTCTTCCAGTAAGCCCATTATATTTTCTTTTCTTTTTTTTTTTGACGAACAGTTATGTGTAGCCTTTACATTTATACCACACAATATCTGAAAGAAATTTTTACCGTAAGGTGTATAATATTTTCTCCGAGGACAGACATACGAAAGAAAACGATAATCTTTTTCGCTCTTATAACAATAATCCAATTTTTCACTTCAAATATAAACGTTAATACAGCAACTTACAACCTTTTATTATTGAAAAAAAAAAAAAAGACAAACTCGGGCTCCAAAAGCCGGCAAGTCTCTCCGTTTTAGAATAGAGGAGAACGCTTTCATTTTTTAAGATAAGCTCGTAATGATTGAGAAAATGAGAAGCAATTCAATGCGGAACATGTGCAAAAACAACACTTCAGTTTTAATTTGAGAAAGGGCCCGTCTGAATGTTTCTAAGGGCCTGTTTACATGGAGGTGGGGGACCCCAGGTAGGTGAGGTAACCCGCTTAGGTGAGGTAAAAAAATAACCCGCCTTTACATGCAATCTTACAACCCCACCTTCCCGGGGTGCACTTTCTCAAGATTATTGAATGGTCGCTAAGCACGTAAACAAGAAAAATGCTGGAAAACCACGAGTTTTGGCGATTAATGCACTTTTTCACTCACTTGTTGCTCTTGCTGCAACCCGTCAGTGCAATAGCTTTCTATTGTTAACTTTAATCATAATGCAAAGACACCGCGAAAGTGAATTTTGCGCGAATTTGATGTATCACGAATCCGACCCCGGCCAGGCGGGTTACCCCACCTTGAAACGTTTACATGACAAATTGTGACCCCGGCTGAGAGGGTAACCCGGTCTGGTAGACCGGGCTACCCGCCTTGGCGGGTCACCCCACCTATCATGTAAACGTGATCAAATGAATATGAGTGATTATATGGACAGGCGGGTTACCCCACCTAAGCGGGTTACCTCACCTACCTGGGGTGCCCCACCTCCATGTAAACAGGCCCTAAAAATCGCACGATCTGTGATCGTTTTTTGAGCTAATGTTATGAATGAACAATGACAGATAAATAACTTAATTTCTTGAAAATTTTTCTTCAAAAACCCATAAGTTAATCCTAAAAAGCAATTCGCATTCGCATAATTGCAAGTCAAGTTAAATCGTTGCGTTCGCGCAAGTTAAATCGGTCGAGCACGTGGTAAAAAAATCAGTTTCAAATGCACATTTTTTGGTTTTTCTTTCACGCCGATCTCAAAATGTAGAAAACGTCCATGAAGCCTTTATAAATACAAAAATTCCTTTTTAAAAACGAACTTTTCTTTGATCATAGAGTACGGAATGTACCTCAAGTGTCTTCAGAGACCTCGCTGTCTTGGTTGGTTCAAAACAAGCCAAGCGCTCCGATCCGCCGTGTAGAAACAAGGTTGAATTCTTCGAAAGACAATATCATTGCGAAAAGCTTTCGTTTGCCCACAAAAACGAGACTGAGCATTCCTTTGAACTTTCTTTTTGCATTTGTCTTTCATCGACGTACTATCAATCTTGAAATGCAAAACTTTAGTCTTGAAAACCACCACATCATGAACGCGCGCCAGCCTTTTTGTTGATGGATGACATTTAAAAAGGTGTCAAATATGTTTCTTCCCTCACCCCCTAAATGGTTGACATGACCATTGGACGTTCGTGGGGGAGTGGAGTATGGGTTATTTTACCGATTTAGTTTGTATTGGAAGAATTTTTTCCCAAATCTCTCTGGAGTTAGAATTTTTTCCCCGACATATAACGGTGTTAGATTTTGCTCAGCATTATACGTCATGAGCGATATTTTTTCAGTGCAGGATATTTTTCTCCCAGGAATTTATTTGCATGCTTTTTTCCTCTCGAAATCAGTCTGCAGGACATTTTTTCTGAAATCACTCATAACTTCTTCTAAAGTCAAATGGTCGGTCCCTAAAATCCACAAAACATTTGGTTAGTTGATAGATTCTGATTTGTCAATCATTTCTAAAGGGTTTAAAACAATAGGGGACAAAATTCTCTAGGGGAGAGGGGAGGAATTCGTTTCTACTTACCCCTACCAGGAAAGTCCGTACGGACGGACGGACGGTGACGTCATAACCAAATTTTCTCGGATGGGTAGTTTACCAAATTTTATTACCCATGGTGGTCCGCTGTGCGCGCTTCGCGCGCGCGGAGGCTCTGCAATGAAGTTTGATACTTCATCGATATTCTTATATTTTATTCAGAAAGTTTTTAAATGCACTGAGAAAGTCCTAAGTAATTGAAAACAGATGCTGCGAATTTGTCTGCGACATTTTGTGCTAGCATGAAGCATTTAAGCTAAGAAACATTTTTACATTAACAATATACAGTCGACTCCCGATAGCTCGAACCTTCAAGGGAAATCGAAAAAAGGTTCAAGTTATCGGGAGTTCGAGTTATCTGGAGTTCGAGTTATCGGGAGTTCGAAGAAAATAGCCGAGAGTAAGGTAAAAAACAGTTTTTACTGTACAGTGAACATTTTAATCACATTTAATTGTAGAAATGTCAAGTGAAAATTAAAAGATACTTCTAGATTATAAATCAGAACGTAACGTAACAAAACATAGCCTAAATAGAGCATGCGTCACTTACTGTTTTGAGAAGAAAAGCTGCTGAGCGTTTCACGTTAGCCTGTGACAATCAACATCAGCCTCCACTAGTAAACTATACTCCTTTAACACGTCAATAGGAAATCAAAAATTCAATGCTTCGGACGCCAGTAGACGGCTTTTTTCCCGACTCAGTTAAGGGCTCAAAACATGGTTCGAGTTATCGAGGGTAAAATTATGTAGAAAATGACCTGAGGGGAAACGAAAATTGGTTCGAGTTAGCGGTTCGAGTTACCGAGGGTAAAATTACAGTGAATGTATGACGGAAATCCAGGGGAAATCGATTTTGGTTCCAGTTAGCGCGAGGTTCGAGTTAATTTCATTTCAGTGGTAAACAAAACCAAATTAAATAAACAGAAAATAGCCTGTGTACTGACGCCCCCTCCCCTCAAAAAACAAAAACAAAAAAAAAAGTCGGAGAAGAATTGAGAGTCTCTCTTCCCAACTATTTTTAAGGGGAGGGGCATTCTGTAAACATGCTTACAGAAAATGCATCAAGCGTTTGACCGCGGTGGGTTATGGAGAGCTTCTTTAAAGTGAAAAGGCTTGAAAAACCTTGCAAGTATTGCAAAAAACCTTATAAGGGCTGGCGACATAAAAGGAGAACAACGTAATTAAGGACTGGTGCAAGGCAGTGTCGCTGTTACCTGTTGCCACTGTATCTGACTGCTATCACATATCATTTGATTTTTTATAGTGTTCAGCCCCAGCGTCCCTCCACTGGTGAAAGTAGTTACAGTATCAACATGTCTGGTGGAAATGCCAGTGTTGGTGACTACAGTGTAATCAATGTGGGAACAACAACACCAAGGTGACTTATACTGAGTATCATTTGTATTAATACGATCATAAGGAACTCTTGCAAATAGTATAATTGCTAAAAGACCTCATAAATTAAAGCTACCAAAAGCGATCATGCGAGCCTGTGGCCAGTATATAGAGGCAACCGAGGCAGCCAAGGCAGCTCTTACAATTTGGAGAGTTTTTGTGTGTCTCGCAAAAAATGTAGGGCTAAGATAGCTATATGCATTTCATTTTTTTGCTATTGCCTTGGTGAAGATTTTCATCTGGCTGTGGGTAAAAGTGGACAAGCGTGTAAAGCGAGGGAGAAGTACAAGGGAGAGGAGACGCCCCTAGCACAAATCCCAGGGGCGTAGCTAGCTGTACGCACGGTACGCACTTGGGAACCTGAAAAAGAAAAAGTCGAGGGTAAAAAAATGGAAAATAATAACTATAATACAAAAGTGAGTAATAAAAAAATCAAAAAAGAATTACATTATTTAAATCTGCTTTTTGCTTAGCGGTTTAAAATATTTTTCTAAAGCAACGTAGTCCTTTATTTGTGGATCGAATCAAGCTTGATGTATGTCAGTTGAGCTTCAACTACATATTGATACATCTGTGCGGAAAGTGTATAATGGGACTACGGTACGCTTGATTACAAACCACTGTTTTAACAAACAGCGTTGACTTAACGTTTACTTGGATAATGTTGTAGTTCTTGTTTTTCTATTAAACATTTAGTCAAAATAAAGTTACACTTTTTTGGAAGGAAAACTTAATAGGAGCCCCCCTTCTAATAAGCGCCCCTCCTTTGAACCGAAATTTTGAATAACCGTTAGGGCTCCCATTCGAGGAAGTACGGTATTCGTTACCACTCTCACTCGCCATTGCATATTATTTTCCATTAGATTTTACCTACGTGTACCTTTATTTGGGTGACCATCAAGTTATTAAATTTTCTTTTTCAAATCAATTAGTTATAAGCTTAGGTTTATAAAAAATGCGGCCCAATGGTTGTGTTTTGGGGATGATCAGACCTTCTTCTCTGTAGCCTCTACTTCCTACTGTTTAATTCTTGCTCGTGCACAAACCTGCAACTAAAGGATCTGGAAAAAGGGATAGTTTGTCGTACGAGCGTTCATGTTGTCAAACAGTTTTAACGTGGATTTCAGCAAAAATAGTTTCGAAAAAGTAGTGTCTAAGAATAACTGCTATAAAATTCGTCCAGCTTGATTAGTTTGAGGCTTCCAAGAGTGTATCCCTTGTCTTCCGTGTCCTGTATTGTAATAAACAATCTGTTTGATTGTTTGTATCTTACAGAACTCCAAGTACTGCCGAAAGTATAGAAGCTCCATTTGGGTTTCGGAGAGTAAAACTGGTACAAACCCCGAGATTGCTAGCTCAGGAAGTCCTTCAGAAAGTGAAAATGTCTCTAATAACCCTCTAATGCTACCCATGGCAGTCCCTGAAGTAGGCAATGCAGGATCTTCTGAGCAGACTGCACTTGCTACTGGTTCTCGCGGAGCATTGTCCAGTACCGTTCCGGAGACTAAAAACTCAGGACCTCCCCCTGGAGATTCAACCGATGTTAAAGTCCCTGAAAAATTGCCTGTTAGCGTTCCTGAAGTGGGCAGTGCAGGATCTTCCGAGCAGAAGGAAGTTGCGATTGGCTCTCGCCTAGCATTGTTCAGCCCTGTTCCAGAGACAAAAAACTCAGGAAGTCCCCCTGGAAACTCAGCCGATGTTAACGTCTCAGAAAAATTACCTGTTAGTGTTCCTGAAGAAGGCAGTGTGCGATCCATCTCGGAAAAGGAAAATGCTGTCAAGGGTCTTGGAACATTATCCTACCCTGTGACTGAAAGTAACCATCCTAGGACTCCCACGGAAAATTCAAGTGAAGCTGATACCCCTGGGAGATTGCCACATCCGATTCCTGAAGAAAATAAAAAACCGGAATTAAGCAAAACAAAGGCTACTTGCACGTCTCTAACTGAAACTACAGCAACTATCGCAGTTAGTCAGGGTACCGCCTTATCAAGTATTCAAGGGTCCATAAACTGTAGCAGTTCAGAGAGATGCACACCACTCTCTGGAATTGGGAAAAAGTCATTCAACCATGGAAAAGCTTCTGGGGCCCCTAGATCAACTAGTGAATTACAACAGCAGCATACATGTAGAGATGAACTGAAAACTGCTTCAGCTTCGTCAGCAATGCAGGGACCTTCGGGTAAGCTTTGTTCACTTGTCTGGGTACTTTACACGATGTGCATATTAATACACCCCAGTGTCATCTTTTCAATGCATTTTGTTGGCAATACCGCAATATCAGATGAGCATTCCTTGCATAGGGTTTGGGTTGTGTCATCCTCTTGGATATGGTTGATAGAAATTCAGCTCCAGAAGAGTTCGCTTGCGTTTGACAATTTACGCCAAAAATGTGAATTCACTTTTTATGCGACGTTTTCGTGGCTGTCAGCTGTCGTGGCAGCTTAAAAAACTCCCTAATATTTACGAAGGCGTGATTGATGCAAGCGTGAATACCTGTTGTAAGCTCAAGATTGTGTTTTTGGAAAAGCGTCTTTAGTTTTCGGGTAGACAGTATTTTGAAATGGAGAGTTTATATCAAACTGAAAATCTCCTGACAGCGTGCATTTCTTTGGTGCATGAGCCAGACAAGCCGTGATCGAGTCTATAGCCGTTGTGTACGAACTCACGAAAAGAACTCGGGAGATGCTGTTCGCAGATTGGGCACAATAATACAAAGCATTTTTTGTGCCCAATCAGAAGCCAGCGTTCCCTTGACCGTTTGGAAATGGTCCGCTGAGAGTCGGTACCCTGGGTCTTTTCCGCCTGTGCTTGAAAACTTTCGTCGCTCCTTTTCTCCCGGTGCGACTGACTGCCCCTGGGTCTCCGAGGATGGGGGTATGTAAGCTTACCTTCCATGTGGCAGCGGACCATTCATAGCCTAGCTTGTTGTAGCAGGAGTCGAAAGGGGTAGGGGATTGGGAAGAAGGAGAAAAGGGAGGGGATTGGGGAGAGAGGGACCCTCTTTCTCCCTTCCCCTCCCCTCCCCTTTTTGCGCCTACCCGGCACGCAGGCTATTCTTAAGGAGGTAACCTCCCACGCAGATGTTCTTCGGGCTTCTTCATCCGGTGGAACTCGTGACGAAGTGGAACCTCTATATTACGTAGTCCTTTGTATAGCGAACGGTTTTCTTTACCCCAGTATCCATAGTGGAACTGCCCACCTACCCCTCCCCTAAGCCAACATGTTTCCCTAAGTGAGAAGTAAGTTTTAATGTTGGGTTAGGGGAGGGGTACAATGGAGGTGGGCAGTTCCCAGAAACCTATTATGATCCGTAATAGTAAAATATCTGAAAACGAAGCTTGATGTAACAAAACCTCTCGGTGCAGCGAACAAATTTTGCCAGTCCCTCTATTAGCCCTTCGTTATGTCGAGGTTTTACTGTAGCAAAATTCCTAGAGGGAGGGATCAAACAAACTACTTTTGAATCGGCTTTTCTGATTTTCCTTTGCTTCAGATAATATCAAACTGCCTGAAGCAAGGACAACCATTCCACGTACAAATAGAGCTGATGAACGAAGCAACAGACTAGTTGAACAGTTTGGTAGTCCACGGCCGCCATCAGATCATGCTTTAGCGGCAGCATCTAATGCAGTTGGTGAATTCAAGAATCCAACCGCGTCTTCAAGGAGAAGTTCGTCAAGGGAAGCGCCACACAGGAAAGAAAAATTTGTGAGAGGTAACTCCTTTCCCGACAGTGATGATCAAATGCAGATACCGGAATCAAACCAATCAATAAGGAGTGTCGGAAACGGACAACAACACAGAGGTGGTGGCGGCTTAGGTAACTGTAGCGAGAACAGGGGTGAAGCTGCACAGAATGGAAATAGTTTTGTTGTACCAATTAATTCTGATCCTGGGGATGACGTAAAAGGAAAGGAAAGGTGCGATGAGAATTGTAACATCATATGAGCTTGTTAGGTATTAACTGCGCATTAACTCTTAGCAAATGAAAAGTAGTCGTCAAGTAAAGGCGGCGACGTTCGGAAGATGACACAAGGCGCTCTCTGTTGAAAGTCTATATAGATCATTGGCATAACCACGAACAATGGACACCGACTAAACACCTGCATCCTTTAAAGGTGGGCATCGGTTTGTGTCTAGACAGTATTGAAGTGGACATCTCACAGGTGGACACCTCTATGTAAGAGCTCCCATGATTGGTCCAATATCGCGTGAACATATTGACTCTTGACCAATGACAGGGCAGCAAATTGAGAGCCGAAAGTCCCGTCCATGCACGTCCAGTCCTTTCCGCGCGCTTTCCCGAGGTCAACTGACGTTCCTGTTCTGTTGCTAAATCAGCCTAATAGCTTCCTTTGGGCAGTTTAGAGAAATACTTCTAAAAATTCTTCAGTTTCGAATACGTTGAATTCTATTTGCAAAAGTGTTATCAACAAGTCTTTCGTCGACATTCAATGGCGTGCGACGGTATTATTGCGGTGTTGTTTTTACAGAGTAAACATTGTTAGCTTCGTGCCATTTCAGTATAATTTGATGTTGTCATTTTGTTGTTTACCCGTGACCTGTGTGCTTAAAGATCGGAAAACTTCAGCACCTTTATGGCCTGGTGTTGATGAAAGGAAGTATCCTGAAAATATTTCAGAAATTTTAATGGTAAAATTTATTGGTTTTGTCTAGGCTATTTTTAAGCTTAAGCGCTTTATAAAAAAGATAGATGGCGTTATAAATGTAAGTAAAGGCTTTTTGTAAGAACCTGCAAAAGTCAATGTAAAGTTTTTTATTATTTAAAAAGAGTAGATATTTTTATTTAAGTAGCTTGGCGTTTATTCTATGGCTGACTGGGATATTTGCAAAGGTTATACCCTGTTCATAAGATATGTTCCAAGAAAGGTGACGACGAAGCAAACTGTCTTAACCATGGGAAAAGAAGATAAATTTGTTTGAATTTTAAACAATAGGATACTTAACAACTTTTTTACAAAGCTGTTTAACTTCAAATTGGTGTGGTTTTAATTGTTACAAATTAGGGGTACCAAACTTAGTAATGGCTTGCTCGCAAAAAAAAAATTAGATATCTTACTGTTTTTTCTTAGTTTTTTTGAACACGGACGAAGAAATTTTTATTAATTGTCTCTGTCATAGAAGAAAAGTACCGGCATGAAAACAGGGAATGGTTGGAAGAATTTGTTAAGCACTTAAAGTGCATCATATGATTTAATGTGCTGTGTTACTCGGTAAAAAGACAAAGTCTTCTCAATAAATCAGTTAATTAGCTGTAATTTATGTTACCTTTGCTTGGTAAAGTTGAATGTGGAACTTGTTCTGGAATGTCATTCATCTATCGCGGACGACTCCCCCTCACTTTTACGAGCTTTAGTTAATTTAATACATGCAGTCCCTTTCACATCAAGAATGCAGTTCTTTAGGTTTAACGCTGAGATCATGCTGTGATATCTATTGTTGGATTTTCATTTTTACCCTTCGCTTGGAAAATCCGAAAAGGATTTGAAAAACTGTCCTTAAGAACAGCGGTCTTGCAAGCGCACGCATAATTAACAAAAAGAACAGCGCTGTTCAGGAGAACAGTTTTGCAAATCCTTTTTGGGATTTCCCATCGAACGGCAAAAAGGAAATCCATGAAATCCGGATTTAAGGTGACTCGACCCAGTTTTTTGGGGGGGTACCATCCTACTTTGAAGCTCTCTGGTATCCCCACCTTTACTTTTATCGTAAGTCTAACACATAGAATGGATAACATATAGATCAATCTACAATATAACATAAAATTTTTGGCGATCGGAGTAAATGTCACGTGGTTATAATGCCACGCCCCTTTGAGGTCTGAGTCGAAAATCTGCTGTTGCCGGCATTTTTTCGTGAAAATCTCTCGGCTACATATATTGCACATTAGTGCCTTGCGCTGAACAGAGTTTCACCAAAATCGCAAAGACCCAATTCGAGAAATTCAGCAGTTTCCAAATTTAGGTCATAATTTATGCGGAAGTGATAAGCAAACTTCACACGATTATATCTAATAAACTATGAGACTTATCTCTTTATTTTGGGCATCGTTATAACAGATGGGTCCTTGCAAGTCAGCAAAAAGCTTTAGGGCCTTGCAAATGCGCGCGATTTCGAGCAAAGCAAACGTATCGAAATTATAGTTTTAGCTATTTGTTGACGTTTGTCAGCGTTTAAGAGTCCTTCTCACAAAAAAAAGCATTTTCTTAAAAATTCGTAGTTTTTTTCCCTTCAAATTTTTTCAGGGCCACAATTGATTAACTTACTACCCGGATTCTGAATTTCGTGGTCATTAAAAAACTGTAACATTATCTTCTATAAGCCCAAACTTGAGTAAACATTGAAGATTTTTAGCGTTTTGGCTGAGTTTGTGCTTTGGGAGTTGTCTATTGTTTCTAGTCTGTTATGATACAGCATTCTTGTTCAGCACGCGTGCGATAACCGCGCTTGGCTGACTTCCGAATGCTCACCGAGATATGATAATTTTGGTACAGTGAGACAGGTCATCGCGTGATACATAGAGGTCAAGAGACTATAAAGGGGACAGAGAGGGCATCACCCATATACACCCTATTCCATAGGTAATTCGTCTCGAGTTATTTTTAGAATCGGGATAAAGTTACCTCGCGCGAGGCGTGGATGTTTCGTGGAGGTTTCGCATGACCAAACGCGGTGCAAAACATGTCGGGCGAGAGGCAATGAAAGCGTAAAAAGATCGAGAGCATTCCTGAATATTGAAGCGAAATGAGTCGGCGCTCACCTGGGAAAAAGGAATCGCTGGACTCTTTGACAACCCGTGAAATCAGTTTAACTCGAAGTTGTCGTAACCTCAGTGCTTTAATAAAATTAGAAATTTCGCCGGTCTATTGAAACGAATATTGATTGAAACCGGTCGTTTGTACAATTTAGGGAGTTTTTAAAAGATCCAAGGACGCGGACGACAACTAGAACGTCAAAAAAACAATAGGTTTAATTAGCAAAACAACAACTTCGCACGTGCAACACACTTTTTTGTTCATTTCTTTCCCGTTTTTGCACGACTACGACGTGAAAATGCCTAATTTCGCGTTTTATGGAGGAAGTAAATAAGCAACGACGAAATTTTATTTCTCTTTCTGAGCTTGAATATGGTCCCTTGAAATTCAGCTTTAGGAGGGTTCGCCTACAATTGACAAAGTAAGTGGGTAGGAATAATCGCTATAAAGACTGAGAAAAATTAACATCAAACCAGAAATTGCTCTCTTCAAACTGTAAATTATAAATGATCCTGAGATAATATTCAGTGTGTTAAGGATTTCCCTGCTCTACTGTTAGCTCTATACAAGAGAGGAAGGGCGATTCTTTTTTAATTTCGGTTTCGCTGACACAGCTTTCGCAGGAATCTCGCTGTAGTCGTTTTCGTCGACAAAAGGAATGGCAAAATCGCTCTCCGCGTCTTCCCCCATTTTGTTCTGCGTCATTTTGTGAAGGACGCGTGGCTCTCAGCGTGGGTCATCCACGCGGAACACATTCGCGCTATGTGATTGGCTGTTGTCTAATCCCCCTTGAGATCTGTGGTGTTAAAAATAACTCGAGACGAATTACCTATGGAATAGGGTGTATATGGGGGATGCCCTCTCTGTCCCCTTTATAGTGTCTTGCAGAGGTTTATCTCACAATTTTTAATCAATTCTCGTGCTTCTTGTGCCTTTGCGAAAAAATCAAGAAGTGCTACACACTAAATCTACTTACTATTAAAAAAAATATCATTTTTTCATAGGTTTAATGTAAGCCAATAATTAAACCAACTCGCGACGGGAATCCCTTCTATTTTCTCAAACTAAATTATCATATCTCGTTGAGCATTCGGAAGTCAGCCAAGCGTGGTCATTGCACGCGTGCTGAACAAGAATGTTGTATAATGACAGACTAGAAACAATAGACAACTCCCAAGCACAAACTCAGCCAAAACGCTAAAAATCTTCAATGTTTACTCAAGTTTGGGCTTATAGAAGATAATGTCACAGTTTTTCAATGACCATGAAATTCAGAGTCGGGGTAGTTAGTTAATCAATTGTGGCCCTGAAAAAATTTGAAGGAAAAAAAGTTACGAATTTTTAAGAAAATGCTTTTTTCGTGAGATTGACTCTTAAACGCTGACAAACATCAACAAATAGCGAAAACTATAATTTCTATATGTTTGCTTTGCTCAAAATCGCGCGCATTTACAAGGCCCTAAAGCGTTTTGCTGACTTGCAAGGACCCATCTCTTATAACGATGCCCAAAATAAAGGGATGAATCTCATACTTTATTAGATATAATCATGTGAAGTTTGCTTGTCATTTTCGCATAAATTATTACCTAAATTTGGAAACCGCTGAATTTCTCGAATTGGGTCTTTGCGATTTTGGTGAAACTCTGTTCAGCGCAAGGCACTAATGCGCACTATGTGTAGCCGAGAGATTTTCGCGAAAAAATGCCGGCAACAGCAGATTTTCGACTCAGACCTCAAAGGGGCGTGGCATTATAATCACGTGACATTTACTCCGATCGCCAAAAATTTTATGTTATATTGTAGATTGATCTATATGTTATCCATTCTATGTGTTAGACTTACGATAAAAGTAAAGGTGGGGATACCAGAGAGCTTCAAAGTAGGATGGTACCCCCCCAAAAAACTGGGTCGAGTCACCTTAATTGAAATCCACCCTGAGGACAGATTTCTCGCAGGTGAAATCCGTTTTCGGATTTCGTGTTCGTTTGCAAAATCCAAAATCCGGATTTCCCAACAGAACGCAAGGGAGAGGGTTTAACCGGATCTGTTACCGAAGAGTAACGATGGTTCTACATTTTGCATTTATGTCTGAAGTCCTATTTGACAATTCAGAAGTACCTTTTTTTGGTATCGTTTAGGCTACGTCCACAAGGATTCCTAAATTTTCCCTTTCACACGAATCGGCCTTCCGACCACTCGAGCTTAACCCTTTAAACTTTAAACTGACAATTTGAATTCTCATCTGTTGCCCCCATTCATTTCCTACAGAAGTAGTGGGGAGAAGTTAATAAAATATCAAGTAAATTCATCTCTGTGATCATGTCCGTAATTCTCATGACCACTCTGTCTTAAAAAGCATTGATATTACAAGGAGAAATTTGATACTGATCACTCTTAAGGCTTAAAGTGAATTTGCGCTCAGTTTCAAACTTTACTGCGTGTATTTCACCCCATTTCAATCTGACAAATGTTGGCGACTTTTTCTGAAAATGAATTCTAAAGGACTGCATCGATCGAAGTTCAGGAAAAGAAAGAGAAAATCGTTGTCTTGTGTTTACGTCCTCCACAAAACGTGAAATTATGTACTTTCAAGTCGTAGTCGTGCAACGACGGCAAAGGAATGTACGAACAAGCGTGATGCACATGCAAAGTTGTTGTTTTGCTTATCTAAACCTTTTTTGAAGTTTCCCGTTCTCGTTGCCGTCGCCGTCGTTCGGCGCGTTGCTTAAGCTCCCTAAAGAATCCGGACACCGAAACCGTATTGTTTGGAAATCGCTTTCCAGGAGAGCGATCACAAATCGGGATAAAAATGTGCGTTTTCAAAAATGCCTGGATTTGTGTGGACATAGCCTCAGTGCTCATTTAATGTTCTTTGGTGAATTTTAACCACTTGCGTTATCATTAAAGGCTCTTTACAGGTTCATCTCATTAATTTTAATGTGAAAATCATTTTGCTGCCAAAACAAGGTGGGGAAGCTGTCACAGTAACAAAAAAAATTGTTCCCAAAACGTGCATATATTTCTGGTCATTTTATTCATGCCTAAACCGTTTAGACTATGATTAGTTTTCGTCCTGCTTTAACGTGGATTTAAAGTGGAAAATCAATGGGATCATTTCCAACAAGACCTTTTCAAGAAAGCAAACCACAGAGTGGTGAACCTGGCGAATTTTTATCCAAGCCTCGAAGAAAACCAAAAATTTCACCCAGCATAAAAATTTCAACGCCTACGGGTTGCAGAAGGCCAGCATTTACAACTCCGCAATCAACGAGGAAAAAAGTCGACAAAAGCATGTTATGGATATACTGGAAGCCTAAGAGGAGTTTTTCATGGCCAAATAATGAAAAATTACAAAGAGAGGAAAAGAACAGGTTTTTTAAGTGAATAATAACTGACCCACGATAAAAAACAATGCGCGACATTATTCGCCGGAATTAAAATGGAAATTAAAGAGAAATATTCAGTGCGAAGTAAAAATGGTTAAAACGAGAATTAATAAAGTTGGAATTTGATGCCAGGAATTTTCGCAAGCATGAATTGATGGCAGGGAAATTCATCATATTAAAACTGATCTTGAAGTTCAAGTATCGCTGCCATTAGAGGGCAATAAAAACGGGACGACAATGCAAGACTCCTCAACTTTTAA